AGAAAAGCACTGAAAAAATGAGAACCGATAAACTTTTTCCTTCATAAATCGTATCAAAAAGATACAATTTATGAAAGAAAAAACTTTCTGCAAGAAAAAATGGCATTCGGGAACAGCCCGGGTAGCAAATGACACCAACATACCTATGCTTGTTAGGTTGTCGCTAGTCTCCGATTTGGAGGGTTGCTTAGGATGAAATTGGGGTCAGATGAATTTCTTCAGTGCACATGTCTACAGAAAAATTGATAAATCCTAAATCCCGGCTCCATTTCATACAAAGCAAAAAACACCGTCAAAATGCGAAACTAGATTAAATAAAAATCAAAAATTATTTCATTTGCTCGGCCTTCAATTTTTCATAAAGCAGATTTCTGCGGTTGCATTGTCTTTCATGCTCTCTGAAAAATTTTCAATTTCACCACGATGTGGGGTACTCAAGATTTTTTCCGGAAGAAAACTCCTTGTCTTGATGTATATCTCTGAATATTTACAAACAGTCGAAACACTTGCCGTGCTAGCTGTGACTGAAACAATCAGCTGCTGCGTAATAAAAGGGCAATCACACATTCTATGTGCCGATGACTGATGTTAAACAAGGGAAGATTAATATGCTTGCTGCTGGACATGAGGTCCTCAGAGGTCAGGATGACCAGGTCATTGTGAGTGACTTGAGGAAGTAAACTACAGTCTTTCCCCATTCTTTTTAACTCTGGAAATGCAAAAAAAAAAGAAATTAACTTTGGAATTCCCACACGCCGAACAAAGCGCTTGTAAACTACCGGCACAAGCTTGCTTTGCAGCTGGACAAAAATGCGCAAAAAAGGCATCTTCTGTTCTGTAGTCCTTACTGAAGATCGAGTTTTATGCGGTTTTTGCATCTATGCAACGCAGCAATTTGTAAAGGATCGCCGGTGTGTGTGTGTGTGTGTGTGTGTGTGTGTGGTGTATGTAAACTTTGCAGGCATATTTCGATTTCCAGATAAAAGAAAACTACAAAGCTGAAATTTTGGCAACTTAGCTTACTTATTATGAATTGATCCCTAAGCGTAAAATAATCACTTCTTCGCAATTATGCGTTTAGAAAGGGTAGAATCACCTGATCCGAGTTAGATCTCAAAGAAAATTTGTTCTAAAAATATGGCATTTTGCAAGACACTACAAGACTGGATTACCAGAAGCATAGGTTTTTGCTTAAAGTGCAGTGCGGAAGAAAAAATTTTTCGAGTTTTCAAGCTCATTGCTTTGTTCGGTCAAATTTGCACAAATTTGGAATTCATATCAAAGTCAGGAATTTGTTTCAAATGCTTGGAGTCTTATGCTGCGACTTTGCAGTCTACGGCTTTTACAGATGCTTTGACCACTACTAGTGATCATCCAGCAGTTACTAAATTCGAATTATACGCTTCTCCTCTTGTAGAAATTTCTCATGAACAAATTAAGGACTACGGTCCCCAAATTTCAAGTAATTTTTGCAAAACAGTTCAAGGGCTGTATCCCTGGAAATTTCAGTTTTTTATCTTTTTGGAGTGCTAAAAAATTATACTGCTATGGATGATGAGATGGACACAAAGAAGTTTCATCTCGTCCTGCTACAAAAAAAAAAGAGAAAAAAAATTCAACAAATAGCAAAAAAAACTAGCCTTTTGCAAAGAGTCCAGTATCTCGATTGCTTCTCGCCGGACGTCCTCTGATGCCTTTCCCATCATAATTAATTGCATTTTGCGCCTCAATCTGACCACGTCCACCAAAGGATCTCGCACTCGACCTGGTGGTGGTGGCAGTGGAGGTAGCGGTGGTGCAGAACGTCGCTCTGGTGGCCGTACTTGTCGAGCCACTGGTGCAGGACGTAGTGGCTCGGAATTTCGGCGTTGCTGCTCGAGTTGTCTCAGGCGCCAATTCACAAAGCTATCCGTATTCGGTGGCGTATGTCCTTGATTTTCTCCTGGTAAAGCCTCAGGGGCAGTGCCATCGTGTCCTGGTGTGTGTTCTTCCTCAGACAAAGTCATTTGCCCTAAATTCATGGGCAATGGAGCCTGCTGAGGATTTTCTGCTGGTAAAGACCAGTGCTCGAAATCGTCCTCCAGTTCCTCATATAAGTGTGGAGTAAATTGCAGATTTCTTCCGTTTGTTTCAATGATTTCATTCCAATCAAAATTCTTTGCCTCTTCGAAGCTTGCAACGAGTTTCCTTGCTCCCGATGAAGCCTGTTTCGAGTCTTCTTCGCTCGGCAAATGATCCGTCAGCTTTCTGCTCGCCATTAACTATAAAACAATATGTGTTTTTAAAGAAGGAATTTTTTGTTCTTATTCCGTGGAAAAAACAAGAAAAATCGCTTCGACGCAAACGCGATGTTAAAACTGAATGATGCATTACATCGGCAGTATTTCATGTACGCTGATTCTTTTGCATAACATTTTATTTCCCTAGTTAATGTTGGCTGTTACCTACGCATGGCGTAGTGGGGTGGAAGTTGTTGTGCACTACTGAAGGTTACTGAAGGTACTGAAGGTCGTAACTGAAGGTTAATTCTGCCACTGGATCAACCAATCCTTCTACGATTCGTTTCAATGGTAAATTGGTACTGGCATA